CCTCATGACTTAATATCTCCCACGATTTCTCATATTCTTCAGAATTTGAGAATCGATGCGCTGACATACTGAAAATGATGGATAAGTCTTGTCTTATTAGACAAGCTATCCTCAATCTTAACATGACTGGCCTGAATACTCTCATGACTGAATAACCATGACTTGACTCTCACATGGCTGAATCATCTATGTTCGAACTCTGAAAACTATCCCGAGACAACTTAAATAGTCGCTTCGGGACTTAAAACGTGATATTTACTGACTTACTTGACTTGATAAGGTACGACTTCAAGTTTCCAGGTAAATCTGGACTAATGGTCTGTATATCAGACCGCCACATTTTACCCGGCTGAACAACTATTATACGTCGACCTTACATAATGAACCTAAACTGTAAATCGTGAACGTTAACTCTGTACTGTATAGGGCTGCTCCAGTATCAACTGGTCCCGCAAGTACAAAGTAATTAGCTGATCTTGACTTCTGAAAGTCATAACTTAAAAATAACATGACTGATAGAATATCTGACATGACTGACTTGAAAGGTTGTTATTACCTGAAATCTTACTGATTCGGTCCCAGCTTCAAGCCTCCATGGTATACCCGGCTGAGTGGCTCTTATTTCAAGCCTCCATGGTAACCCGGACTATTGACTCTTATACACTGGAAACCGTTATTTTAACATAACAACCTTTAACATGAAAATCTTGCCTTGAACATGACTTACTGATCTGACTCTAAGAACTTTGAGTCTATTCGTCGAATTAAATCAAGGAATTTTCTCCCTGAAGTCTGCCAATTGATTGACAAAATGGCAGTCTCGATAAAAATTTCTGAGAAACATGATTCTTAAGATTTGTTGAGCACAATGCTTACAAATCTTCTGACAAGTTACTAACTTGACTTGAATAAGTCTAGAATTGAATCTAGAGTTCTTAAACTCAATCCTTTTCTACGGTACTGAATTCACTTGCCCCTGATACGGGGATTTCTTCGGCCGAAGAATTTCTCAACATGATAGTCGCGGAACTGTGCGACTACTATGGCTTGAATATATACTGAGTGATCGGGTTTCCCTATGAGGCGGTATCTGAACATCGGGAAAAGTTTAACATTACTGAGTATGCGATCGCATTACTGACTGATTACTAGGTACACAAATCTCTTGACGAGTTGCCAAAAATGGCTGATAATTACTGACGTGAAACCTGAAGAACTCTAGAGTCATCTCGGGAAAATCCTAACGTCTAGAGTCATATCTGAATGCCTGAATTCTAGAGTCATGTCCAACCTCTAGAGTCTGAATCTGATTCGAGCATCTTAACTTAAAGTTCTGATCTTCAATTCTGAGCATAGACAAAGTAATATGTTTATAATAACTGAAAACTGAATTGCAACAGCACTTACCTGTCGTCGGCGGGGCGTGAACATGACGGTTCGGGTTTTACTGAAAAATTTCGGACTGTAAACTTTTCTGAAAAATTACTTACTGAAAACTTATCTGACTGAAAACTTATCAGAGACGCAGAAACGTGCTCTGATACCAATTGTAACACCCCACCTTACTAGTAAATCAGAGTAGCGCATTTATTCGCAAAGTCTTTGAAAACTAAAACATTTTTACTTTGCTAAAACTGATTTGGGGTGCTACCGTGAAAACTTTACTTAGCTTTTAGAAAAACCGTT